AGAGCTGCACTGGGATTGTGAGGACTAACTGATTATGTACTTTTTAATTAGTAGGGTTTAAGGATAGTGTAAGTCTCTAAGGAATTGAGAAGCAAGGCTTTCAGCACCTTGAGGGCTAGCTGCTATTTTTTTTTTTTTTAAAGATTTATTTATTTATTTGAGAGAGCGAGAATGAGAGAGAGTACATGAGAGGGGGGAGGGTCAGAGGGAGAAGCAGGCTTCTCGCTGAGCAGGGAGCCCGATGCGGGACTCGATCCCGGGACTCCAGGATCATGACCTGAGCCGAAGGCAGTTGCTTAACCAACTGAGCCACCCAGGCGCCCGAGGGCTAGCTGCTATTAAGATAAGGTTCCTTCTAGTCTTTAATAAATATAAACAAACATTAAGGCACTGAGGCGGCCACGAGTTCTTTGAGGAAGTTCACACTCTGCATGTCTCAGGTATCTCTCAGTGGGCTGCAAGCTGTAAGGAGATTTAATTTAAGCTACGTTTCTCTTGCCTTTGTTTCCCTCATCAACCCTATAAGAGGGATCTCTTGGTTTGTCCGTGTCACAGGAAGCCCTCCTCACGGATGACTGGGTGGACTCTAGCCTCTCAGTGGAGTTCTTGGGAGTTCTTCGTTCTGATGCAGAAGAGAGTCACTGTCCCGTCTCCCCTGATTTGGTGCCCGTGTTGGGCCTCAGTGCAAGCCAAATCTGTACCCTGAGTGCGTGCAGAACAGTTTATGCTCCTGCATCTTACTTATGTCCTTCTAATGTCCTCTTAGTAGAGAAAGCAGAATTTTCTCTCTGGGGTTCCATATCTCTTGTCCAGCGTGGCCCAATATAAGATCTTTGTTGTACCATAGACGAATGCTTGGGGACACAGAAGGTCGTTGGATGTGTTCGGCCCAGGGGTTCCTGTGCTTTGTGATAAGAAGGAGCAGACACAGTGGCAGGGCTCTTGTTGGTGCATATTCACCCTGTTTCATGAGTGAGTGCGTGGCTTAGAAGTAAATGATGAGGAAACAAACTGAGGGTTGCTGGAGTGGTGGGGAGTGGGAGGGATGGGGTGGCTGGGTGATGGACATTGGGGAGGGTATGTGCTATGGTGAGCGCTGTGAATTGTATAAGACTGATGAATCACAGACCTGTACCTCTGAAACAAATAATACATTATATGTAAAAATAAATAAATAAATAAAAGATGATAGCAGGAAGGGAAAAAGGAAGGGGGGAAATTGGAGGGGAAGACGAACCATGAGAGACTATGGACTCTGAGAAACTAACTGAGGGTTCTAGAGGGGTGGGGGATGGGCTAGCCTGGTGATGGTATTAAAGAGGGCACGCTCTGCATGGAGCACTGGGTGTTAAGCACAAACAATGAATCATGGAACACTACATCAAAAACTAATGATGTATGGTGATTAACATAACATAATAATAAAAAAAGAAAAGAAGTAAATGATGAGAAGAGGAGATTCTTTGACGGTAGTGACTCCACTAATCTCTGTTCTTTTATTTCATCTTTCTATTTGATTTTTATTTTATTCATTTTTAAATTTCATTTTTCTATCCTATTTCTATTCTATTATCAGAATTTGCTTTAGAGATATTGTTTAGTGTCTGTGAGGTACTTGTGACTAGAATAGCCTGTTTCTTCTTGATGAAAAGCTTGAGAAGTTTGAATCTTATATACTTAATAATTCCAGCTCTTGTTTCTTAAGTTTTATAACAGCTTTATTAAGATACAATTCACATACCATACAGTGTACCCATTTGATATGTACAGTTCATTGGTTTTTAGGATAGTCACAGAGTTTAGTCAGTCTTAGAACATTTTCATCACTCCAAAAGGAAATGCCATATCCATTAACATTTACTCCCCATTTCTATCCAATCTGTCTAGCCCCTGGCAACCACTCATCTACTTTCTGTCTCTATGGATTTGCCTATGACACATTTCATTTGAAAGGGATCGTATAATAAGTGGTTTCTTTCATTTAGCATGATGGTTTCAAGGTTTATCCATGTCTTTTGGTTTTTCATTACTGTCTGGGATGGTACAGAATTCTCTTTATGGTCTATCTCCCACCTCTGGAATAGAGGAATGGTTTATAGACAGGTTGCAGACCAGCAACAACAGAGTACTCCAAAACATAGATTGTCCCAAGGCTTCAGATGTGCCTCCATTGCAGTTACTTAAGGTAGATGGTTTTTGATCTCTGTATTATTTATCACTGCAGAACAAATTAACCCCAAACTTGGTAGTTTAAAGCACCATTTATTACCCCGCAGTGTCTGTGGGTCAGGACTCGGATCCCCCAGTGGTCAGGACTGGGATCCTCCAGCTGAGTCCCCCAGTGCTGAGCTCAGGTGGCTACAGTCCTCTCTAGGCTGGACTGGACAGGATCTGCCCCAGCTTCCTCACGTGGTCGTGGCATGATTCAGTTCTCTGCAGGCCTCACTTATTTCCTTGGGAGCTGTTGGCAGGAAGCATCTCTAGGTTCCTTCCCAAGTGGGCAGCTGTAGAGAGCAAGTCTCCACATGTTAGCTGGCTGCCTCAGAGTGAACAAGCAAATGGACAAGAGAGGGGGCTGGCGGGGGTGAGGGGAGGGGAAGACATGGTCTCTCAGACCTGGATCACAAGAGTGACACTTGTTACAATCTTTGTGTTAGAAGCATGTTACCAGATCCACCACACAATCAGGGGATGGGATATACAGGACGTGAATCACAAGAGTCCGGAGTCATCGGGGGCCACTCTCAGTTCACGTGAGAGAAGTGCATTGTCGATTACCTTGGTTTTGGAAGTACTGTGGGGAAGAAATAAAACCCCACACATCTGAAGTGTCCTTAGGAATACGGTAAAATTCCCTGGTGTAGATGCACTAATAATTTGTTCGCTATTCACTTGTAAAACTTTTCTACTAAATTGGTAGATGTTTTCTCCCCCTGAGATGGCATGATGCATTCAGCTTCATTACCCTCATTTTTGTCTTCCTGACTTTCGACACCGAAATTCTTCTTTCTTTGTCCCCCCACTCACCTCACCTCCCATCCTTGGTCTTTGAATATTTGCTGTTTTTTTCTTTTTCTTTCAATTTGCTGTTATGAAACCCTGCTATGCCTGTTTAGTTCTATAGGTCTTACTTATGAAATTTGTGCCTTTTTAGATTTTTACTTCACTGTGACTCTTCTCTACTTCCTTGCCTTTTTTTTTTTTTTGGTACTGAAATAGTTTGAGCTGTATTTGCTGTTCTTGTACACAGAACAGGTTGGTAAGTTGAAATCATGTCCTTTATTCCTAAAGCCTTACAGAAAAAGCCCATTAAGTATTTCAAACATGCAGAAAGTACAGAGAATAGTGCAATAACAATGGAACACTATGGACCCTCCACTTGGATTTATGAAGTGTTAGCATTTCATTTGTTTCTTTCCCTCAGATTTTTAAAGAGCTTATTCACAATTCATTTATCCACTCAAAATGCAGTGTTGATGGGTATTTTGATTATTTGCATATCTTCACTATTGTGAACACTGTTACAATGTTTCCTGTGCTCCTTCCCTTGTACAAGAGTTTTTCTAGCCATAGATATTTTGAAAATAAACTTCTGGGCGCCTGGGTGGCTCAGTTGGTTAAGCGACTGCCTTCGGCTCAGGTCATGATCCTGGAGTCCCGGGATCGAGTCCCGCATCGGGCTCCCTGCTCAGCGGGGGGTCTGCTTCTCCCTCTGCCCTCTTCCCTCTCGTGCTTTCTGTCTCTCATTCTCTCTCTCTCAAATAAATAAGTAAAATCTTTAAAAAAAAAAAAAAAGAAAAGAAACTTCTGGGTGATTGGTAAGCAAAAACAATATGTGATAAACACTTTTGTAATATGTTGACAGTGAAATGTTGCAGCCATTTTGAATAACATACGTGAAATAGGGAAAAATGCTTTTTGTGATGGCCCTTTAGATGGGAAAATGTTAACTCACGCTGCCTTGCATCCTTGGATGAATACTAGTGTAGCATTTTTATTTCAGAAAGGGAATTTGTAATGACTCTAAGGAAACTGATGGAATATTGGAATTAGTAGCAAAAAGTGCCTTCATGTGGTAACTTAAGAAAATGTCCGTTACATGTTTTTCTTGTTTTACTCTGGTATTATTTATTCCTACCTAGGGGTAATCAGCCAAACCCATATTCATTATTCTTTGTGTCTTACTAATCTCTAGGCAGGAGTGTTTTTTTTTTTTAAAGCTTTATTATGGAACATTTTAAACACATATAAAAGTAGGGGAAACAGCACTGTGGACTCTAAACACATGCATCACCCTGGTTCCACACAGTTGACTTGCTTTTGAACACGATTTTCAACTGTGATGCTAACATTAGTTTTATATTTAGAACATACCATATTAAGGGTAACACCGAGTATTAACACTCATTTGGAGAATTATTTCAGCATTCCCATCACGAGGTAAGTGGCAATTGTTGAAAAGACTTATTATTAGTTTCAACACAGTTTTGCTGACCTGTGCGTGGATTGTGGAGTTTCTTCTCCATTAGTCGATCAGGCTAATGTTCTAAATGGCCAGTCTTCTCTCCAACAGGGAGAATGTCCATAAATTTTGTAAAAATGTGACCTAAGCCCTTCAAAAGGCTTTGATAGAAGTAGTTAAGGAACAATTCCAAACACTTAGAACCTTTTTTTTTTTTTTTTTTTAAGATTTTTAAAATTTATTTGACAGCGAGAGAGGGAACACAAGCAGGGGGAGTGGGAGAGGGAGAAGCAGGCTTCCAGCTGAGCAGGGAGCCTGATGCGGGACTTGATCCCAGGACCCTGAGATCATGACCTGAGCCAAAGGCAGACGCTTAATGACTAAGTCACCCAGGTGCCCTAGAGGACCATTTTTAAAAGGAAGCATAGGGACCAGCTAGTAATGTCTTCTGGTACTGCGACATTTATGGGTCTGTAGATCCAGAGACTATAACTAACTGAACCTCACCTCATGGGTGTCTTATATGCTTGGATTCCAGATTGCGGTGGTCATGGGCTCCTGTACGGCAGGTGGTGCTTACGTGCCTGCAATGGCTGATGAAAACATCATTGTACGCAAGCAGGGTACCATTTTCTTGGCAGGACCCCCATTGGTAAGAACATAGTCTTGATTGATTGATTGATTGATTGATTGAAGTAAAATATACGTATATAATATAAAATTTATCATTCTAACCAGTTTTTAAACCTTTCTAACCAATTTTTTCAAAGATTTATTTATTTATTTTAGAGCACGAGCAGGGGGAGAGGCAGAGGGAAAGAATCCTCAAGCGGACTCCCAGCTGAGTGCAGAGCCTGATGCGGGGCTTGATCTCACCACCCTGAGATCATGACCTGAGCCGAAACCAAGAGTCAGATGCTTGAGTCAGCCAGGAGCCCCCATTCTAACCATTTTTAAGTGCATAGTTCTGTGGCATTAAATATATTCACATTGTCGTGCAACCGTCACCACCAACCATCTCCAGAACTTTCTCATCTGCTCCAGCTGAAAATCTGTACCCATTAAACATTAACTCCCTATTCTCCCTGACCTCCACTGCTCCTGGCTACCATGATTCTCCTTTTTCTATGAAGCTGACTACTGTAGGTACGTTGTATAAGTGGAATCATACAGTATCTGTCCTTTTGTGATTGGCATATTTCACTTAGTTTTTTTTTTTTTTTTTTTTTTGCGAGAGAGAATGAGAGAGAGCATGAGAGGGAGGAGGGTCAGAGGGAGAAGCAGACTCCCCGCTGAGCAGGGAGCCCGATGCGGGACTCTATCCCGGGACTCCAGGATCATGACCTGAGCTGAAGGCAGTCGCTTAACCGACTGAGCCACCCAGGCGCCCTGGCATATTTCACTTAGGATGATGTCCTCAGGATTCACCATGTTGTTGTGTATGTCAGAACTTCCTTTTAAAGGCTGAATAATACTCCACTGCATGTACATATCACATTTTGTTTATTAACTCATTCATCAATGGACCTTTGAGTTGCTTCCAGTTTGGGGCTATTATGAATGATGCTGCTGTTAATATGAGTATACGAATATATCTGTTTGAGTCCCTGCTTTCATTTCTTTTGGGCATATGGTCGGACATAGAATTGCCAGATCATGTGATAATTATGTGTTTAATTTTTTGAGAAACCACTTTATTTCTTTTTTTTGCTGAATAATATTTCATTGTATGGATAGGCAGCATTTTGTTTATCCATTTATCAGCTGATAGTCATTTGGGTTGTTTCCAGTGTTTGGATATTACGAATAATGCTGCTATGCACCTTCATATCCAAGTTTTTATATAAACCTTTACAAGGCTTATATGTAGGTTTATATATGTGTGTGTGTGTGTGTGTGTGTGTGTGTGTGTGTATACTAAACCATATTACATAAACCTTTATAAGGTTTATAGACCTGTGAGTACAATTGCTGGGTCACATGGCAATGCTAAGTTTCACATTTTGAGGACCTGCCAAACTGCCCACAGCATATTTTACATTCCTGCCAGCTATGTGTGAGGGTTCTGATTTTCCCATTTCCTTGCCGACAGTTGTTATTGAGCGTCTGTATGATGATATCCATCCTAGTGGATGGTACCTCATTCAGGTTTGACTTGCATTTCCCTAATGGCTGATGATGCTGAGCATCTTCCATGTGCTGGTTAGTCATTTGTATATCTTCTTTGGAGAGATCTCTATTCAGATCCTTTTGCCCACTTTTTAAATTGGGCTTTTTGTCTTTATTGAGTTGTGAGACTTCTTTATATGTTCTGGATACAAATATTTTCTTTCTATGGATTGTCTTCACTTTCTTGGTGGTATCTTCCTCTGAAGCATGGAAATGTTTGATTTTGATAAAGGTCAGTTTATGCATTTTTTTTCTCTCTTTGCTGTGCTTTTGGTGTCATATCTGTGAAGGTTTTGCCTGTTGCAGGATCATGAAGATTTAATACTTGGGTTTCTTCTAAGTTTTGTAGTTTGAGCTCTTACTTACAGGTTCGTAATCCATTTTGAGTTAGTTTGGGTAGGATTTAAGGAAGGAATCCCACATCGTTTTGTATGTGATATGTAGTTGGCCCAGCATCGTTTGTTGAATGGCTGATGAAATAAACTTCTACTTATTTTTTCCTCTACCTCAGTTGCATTCTTGTTTGTCTCAGGGTCTCTAGAAGTTGATAAACAAGGTGCTTGCACATAATAGGTCAACTTTTTTGTAAGACAGGGCAAATTATACATTTTTTTTTTTTTTAAGATTTTATTTATTTATTTGACAGAGAAAGACACAGAGAGAGAGGGAACACAAACGGGGAGTGGGAGAGGGAGAAGCAGACTCCCTGCCGAGCAGGGAGCCCGATGCGGGACTCGATCCCGGGACTCCAGGATCATGACCTGAGCCGAAGGCAGTCGTTTAACCAACTGAGCCACCCAGGCGCCCCATATACATTTGTAAGCTTGTATATGCATAAAGAAACTCTGGAAAAGGTACAGCAAACATAGTTTTAATGCAGAGGAGATGAAACAGGGCAAGAGAGAGACCTTTGACTTTTGTATGTGTGTGTATGTGTGTGCTGAACATAAACATTTTGAGACCTTTGACTTTGTCTCGTGAAAACATTACCTTTTCAAAAAGGTTAAGTTAAAAAAAAAAAAGGAACAAGTTAGAATATTTATGAGAGGTGCTCTAAATTTCTAATCCTAGCATCGTTACGAATCACTAGTAGGGCTAGCTACATAATTGCAGGCCCCAGTGCAAACTGAAGATATGAGACCCCTTGTTCAAAAAGGAGGAACAAGTACTGTTAAAGGTACTAAAATATAAAACCTTTTCCTTCTGTGGTACCTTAAACTGTCTTGGTGTTTTTTATTTGCTAAATATTTAAGGGCATGTTCCTTCAAGCATAGAATACTCTCCTTCTCAGGCATCTGTGCTTCCAGTGGGCCCACTGTTCAACTCCTGGTGGACCTATGACCCCCCAGGGGTATGCAGCCTCCATGCCAGGATGTGCTTGGTATCTGGATGGGTGAGGGGCGAAAAGCAATCCTTTAGCCCCTCCCCCCCCACCTTCACTGTGTCATCTGCTGGAGAATACACCTCAGCACCGCAAGCCCAGCATAGTGATGGTGCTGCTGTGCTCCACCCTGAGACACCAGGGGGTGCATGCCTGAGCCCTGATCTTTCCTTTGCCCATGCCAGGTCCCTAGTGGGGACAGGTGTTGTAGTCCCTAGGCAGGAGTGGGGAGGAGCAGATAGGGCAGAGCCCAGGGCCTATGTACCAGTTAGCAGGGAAGCAGGGAGCCAAGAACCCTTTCCAGAAAGATGGTGGGAGGCAGACCAGCTAAGAGCTGAGGCTCTGAACCCCAACACACATTGTCCCATCAGACTTCATTTACAGAACACATATTCAGAGATAAAATGAGAATTTCAGTAGGGTAACCACTGAGCATCAAACTCCAAGCACAGGGCCCTTCTGAGAGTGGGACCTTGTGCACCCTCACTGGTGAGCTGCCTGTGTTGCAGGACTGAGGAGTGGATTATGTAATGCAGGCTCTTCCCATCTCCTCTTTGCTCGGCTCTATTCCAGTGATGTTCAGTAGTGCAGCCTTCACTCTGCTATGCGTGTGTCACAATCTGGGCCCAGGCTCCAGAGGGATAAAGAGAGCGTAGGGGAAGCCACAGGTAATGACTACATCTTACAACAAAATATCCCCGTATTTAAGTGAAATCTAAGAATATTATCTAGGTAAGGAGAATGTCAACAATACTATAAAACTATAATATACATCCAATGGAATATGATTCAGCCATGAAAAAGAATGAAGTTCTGACACATGCTACAACATGGATGGAACTTGAAAACATTATGCCACAAAAGGAAAAATTTGACACAAAAGGAAAAATACTGCATAATTCTGCCTCTGTGAAATATTTAGAATAAACAAATTCCTAGAGGCAGCAAGGAGATTAGTGGTTGCCCAGGACCAAGAGGAAGGTAGAATGGGGAGTGACTGTAATGAGTATGGGCTTCCTTTTGGGAGTGATGAAACTTCTGGAATTAGGTGGTGTTGATGGTTCCACAACTGTGTGAATATACTGAAAAACACTGAATTATATTCTTTAAATGTGAATTTTATGGTAGTGAATTCTATCTCAAAAAGTAAGGTTATTGCTTCAAAAGTCTGTCAAAAAAATCATCTTTGGGTTTGGAATAATAACACGAATTTATTAAAAAGAGTACGTTAAAAAGAGCTTATTCTTGCTTTGATGTGAAATATGTGTATTTTGCAAATGATTGTGTTTATTTTTAATAAATGTTATTGAAGATCAGGTAAGCCTGAAGAGCCGCCATTTTAAATGCCATGAAAATCTGAAGGCATTATTCAAAAGGCCTGTGTTGTCAATTATTCTTTGACACTTATTTCTAGCTATAAGCGATACTTATCATTGGTAAATGAGAGGAGAATTCATTTAGAATTTACCTTTGTCAAGTGAAGGGTACAAACTTTCAGTAGTTTTTTTTTTTTTTTAAGATTTTTTATTTATTTATTTGAGAGAGAGAGAATGAGAGACAGAGAGCATGAGAGGGGTGAGGGTCAGAGGGAGAAGCAGACTCCCTGCCGAGCAGGGAGCCCGATGCGGGACTCGATCCCGGGACTCCAGGATCATGACCTGAGCCAAAGGCAGTCGCCCAACCAACTGAGCCACCCAGGCGCCCCAAACTTTCAGTAGTTTGTAGGTGTTATTCCTTAAAGAATGAGTGAAGATAGGACTAAAATTTGAAAACACCTTTTTGGGACTGTAGGCAGGATCATAATACTGACATAACACTAGCTGTTTCCAAGAGAAGAGCTTGTCTGAAGGGTGCAGTTGCAAAATGTCCAGTCATTGGGGCGGATTTACCTTGTACCTCAGCTAGGAGCAATTTAGCAGCTGAAGTCGGCAGTCCTGTTAGAGAACTGAACTCTGCTCTGTTGTCTACCACTGAAAGACCATCTTTACAGCTTAAAAAAAAAAAAAGGAAGCAGCAGCAGTCTCATCTGCTTGAGGGTTCTAAATTTTGACCCTTGTTTTACTGAAAATTGAAAAAAGATTCCATGCATAATGTGCGGTTGAGTTGCTACAGCTTTCAGTGGCTTAAAGTGGTTGGAAAAATGCCTAATAGTAAGACAAGTTTTTGAAGGAGCTTTTTGTTCTTCTGTCTTCTGAACTTGATATTTAGTAGAATGAGCTGTTTTTAATTTTTATCATCCTTGCACCTGTCAAAGTATCAGCCATGTTGTGGGTGTTCACTAAATATTAACCAGTGATGAATCCTTATTTTATCAGTTGGTATTAGTCAGATCCCTGGAAATAAACAGAGTATATCGGTTGTTTATTCCTTTTTACAACTTTAAATATCCAGACACCTCTTATAATTAGTTATTGTCTGGGCTGAATGCTATTTTACACTGAATATTTTGGGAAGAAGAGAACTTAGTTCTGTGGGTGGAAAAATTGGACGTGAAAATTTTAATTACTTTTCTCTGTGCAGTAATATTTTGTTTAAGACAACTTTTGATGTAGTGAATAATAAGTCCTTTCTATGCTGCAATTTAGATAAATGTTCATTGCTCTAATAACAGTTTTTCCTATTTGAAGAAAAAGAAATCAGTCAACCCAAAGCAGTAGGAATCAGTAAGCAATTCCTATGGGGTCAATTTGACATTTGGCACTAAATGATTTTTCTGTTTTCTTATTAGAATTTCTCAGGCAATAGTTAAGTCATTCTTAATTTATTACTTGAGGTTTCTTTCTTTTTGGTCATATTTGGCTGAATCTTAGATGTGGGTAATCTTAGAGATTTTTTTTGGCCTCTTGAAGGTATTGCACTTTTAAGAGTTTGTGATAGTTACTGCAGTTTTTCAGGATAGGCCACAAAAGGCATTAATTCATTAAATTTACTGAGCATTCAAAGATGAATACATCACAGTTGCTGTCATCAAGCCCTCCCAGTATAGAGACAAGAGAGACAGACACCTGCAGATCACTGACATGCGCAGTCTGGCAGGTGCCCTGTTGGAGGTGTACAAGGAGTATTCTTGGACCACAGATGAGCAGGTGTTGTTCTAGTATTGCTCTGGAGTGTCATTAATGATGAAAGGGGCTGCGCAGGTCAGGGAAAACCACATAGAGCAGATGGGGCCTAAAGGATCAGGAGGGATTCCCCAGGTGGGTGACAGAGAGCAGGGAGCCCAGGCAGTGGGAACAGCATATACACAGACACAAATGCTTTACTGTGCAGAAGGTAGGAGGAGAAGGAGAGCGGGCTTGCAGACCAGAAATACCTCAATTCAACTCAGGTTCCATCACTTGCTCAGGGGCTGTGGGGAAATTCCTTAGTGGCTCTGGGTTCAGATTTTTCATCTGTAGACCAGAGACAGTTTTTTCTAGGTTTGCTGGATGGGTGGAATAAGAAAACAATCTTGGGGCGATTGGGTGTCTCAGTTGGTTAAGTGTCCGACTCTTGATCTCAGCTCAGGTCTTGATCTCAGGGTCTTGATCGAGCCCTGCACTGGGCTCCATGCTGGGTGTGAGGTCTACTTAAAAAATGAAAAAAAAAAAAAAAAAAAGAGGGGCGCCTGGGTGGCTCAGTTGGTTAAGCGACTGCCTTCGGCTCAGGTCATGATCCTGGAGTCCAGGGATCGAGTCCCATATCGGGCTCCCTTCTCAGCGGGGAGTCTGCTTCTCCCTCTGACCCTCCTCCCTCTCATGCTCTCTGTCTCTCATTCTCTCTCTCTCTCTCAAATAAATAAATAAAATCTTTACAAAAAAAAGAAAGAAAAAAACCAAAAATCTTTAGCTGTGTGGAAGAAAGAGTGGTAGGCATAGTCAGGTTAGAAGACATGCATGTTAGGTAAGCATTTTTATTTCTCTGATGGGCAGAACTCACCACCGACTTTCCTCCTTGCTGTAGGTGAAAGCCGCCACTGGAGAGGAAGTGTTGGCCGAGGATCTTGGCGGTGCTGATCTGCATTGCAGGTGAGACAGAAGCACTTGTTGCTTTCCAGGATTCATTGTTGTCTGTCTGTTGAAGAGAAAATTTAATTATTTTTTCTAAGAGTTAAACTTGCCAGATCCAACCACAGTTGATCTCTTCTTGAGCTGCTGTTTCAGGGTTCAGTTCTTTGAACTGTAGGGTTGCATTCCTAAGCTAGAACGTCAGCTTGTTCGTTATTGCCTAGATAGACTGGAGAACAGGTTTCTCATTTCTTTAACAAACATCCGTCCAGCACCTGTTAGGTGGCAGACACTGTTATAGGTATTGAAGATTATGAGATAGACATTGTCTTTGACCTCACGGAGCATAACATTCTAGTCAGGGAGATGGGTGATAAGTTATTACCAAAAAATGATTTAATGTGTATGTGTGGTAAGGCCTGTAAAGAAGTATAGGGAGAGCATATAGAAGGTTGATCCAACCCACTGGTGTGCAGGTGTTATGACTTTGTGGGTTTTTTTTTTTTTTAAGATTTTATTTTTAGAGAGAGAGCGCACGAGTGGGGAGGGGCAGAGGGAGAGAGAGAGAATCCCAAGCAGGCTGCACGCTCAGCATGGAGCCTGACTCAGGGCTCGATCTCACAACCCTGAGATCATGACCTGAGCTGAAATCAAGAAGTCAGATGTTTTACTGACTGAGCCATCCAGGCGCCCCATGACATTGTTAAATTAATATTTGTTAAGTGGAGCGCAGAGTGCTGGATGGCGAGCTGTGGTTCAACAACAGACCACAGGAGAAATTGAAATGGACAAGTTCATTACTCACAGAACATGGAGTAAGTACACGGCATGCCTCGAGGGGCCACGCTGGGAGCTCAAGGCAGAGTGCAGACAGAGGCAGAGCCTGAGCACATTTTTTTCTGAGGGTCCATGATTGGAGCACTTGGGGGTTCCTAGGCTAAGGCTAGTTTAGTCAATTCAAACCAAAAGATTGGCGTTTCGTTCAGTTCCACACTGGGTCTTATGCACGTGGGTCTAGTGCACGCGAGGCATACAGGAAGGAGCTGGGAGGCAGAGGAGACTGTTTGATCACAGGGCTTGTTGGGGAAGTCCCATCGGGACTTAGGAAGTGCTTGTGAGTCTGTGGCTGCTCTCTGGCGCCTGCACTTGCCCAAGTGGGCTGGAGGCGGTTTCAGGTTCCTGCAGTCCACTCAGCCACACAAAGTAGATGCAGAGGCAGCCAGACTATGGAGGAGCTTAGCTCAATTCTCAAGAGCAGCTGGTTCTCTGGGGAGGGGAAAAGTCCGGCTTTGTGGCATCTGCCAATGCTTCTGGTGTAAAGTATCCCACTGAGGCTGATGACAGGGTCCCAACAGGACCAGGGAGTGTGGAATCAGGAAGAGGTGTACACACTTGGCTCTGTGAGTCAGTCCTGAGCTGGCTCCATCACGTCACTGGTCCAGTCATTTCAGGTTAGAGTTCAGGGGTAAGCAGACCGCCTACCTCCTAGAGTTTTGTGAGAATGAAATGAGATGATACGTGTAAATTGCTTGAAACACTACCTGCTTTAATTAAGTACCTGTAAATATTAACTGCCATTATTTTTATTGTTGTTGTTTATCATAACTGGTCATTAAAGAGTGGACTTTTTTTTTTCTTTTAAGAGCAATTAGGAAACCATTGAAGAGTTTTAAGGAGAGAGATGCTGTTATCAAATATTTCATTGGAAAAAGTCACTCTGGCTGCTAAACAGAACATTTAGGGGGTTGGCCTAAGTCTGTCCAGTCAGGGGGTTTTATCAGGAACAGCAGGTGAGAGATGCTGGTGGCTTAGATGGTTCTGGTGGTAGTGCAGGTAGGGGGACTGACCAGGTTCAAGCTCTGCTGTAGAGACAGGTTTGAAGGACTTGCTTTTGGATTTCATCCAAGGGGTTTAGGAAAGTGAGGTGACAAAGATGATGAGTGGAAAAGGTATGACTTCCTGAGACTGGGAAGATGGGAGGAGGAGGAGATCTGGGGACAGGGCAGGGGGATTGGGTGTTCCTTTTGGACCCGATAAGTTAGAGGTGCTTGAGACATCCAAGTAGGCACGCTGGCTGAGTAGGCAGTTAATTGGTAAAGAGTCTGCAGCCCAGATCAGTGTTGGGGAGTCATCAGCATAGAACTAGAATTTAAAACGATGGGAATAGATGAGCTAGCTCAACTCGAGGTGAGTGTAGATAAAGAGGAGGGCCCTGGACCATACCCAAGGAAGCCAGGCATAGATGGCAAGTCGATCTACTCACTGAGCTCTGTGGCCTGGCAGGTGCATAAACCTCTCTTTGTGCTGCCAGGCCTCACACCCAGGGGGGCAGGTGGCTATGGGAGCAGTCTAGTAGGTGGGAAAGGAGAGACAGGTGTAACATTTCTACTTTCCTGTCAAACACTGCTGCGCCTTTAGAAAACTTATGTGGGGGACCCACATTTGCCCCAGTTTTCCCTTCATTCCTTTTCTCAACTGAGTGCTTACTGTGGGTAGATTGATGGCGCTAAGTGTTGTGAGTAACACGGAACAATTTCAGGCCTGGTTCCTGCCCTCAGGGATTAATAATCTCATGTAAAAAGAGAAATGAAAAGAACTAAAAACAATTACAAAATGAATATGCTAGCATGCTTCCGATTTCCAACTAGAGGCGAAGGGAGGAGTGGTTAAGGGAGTGGTGTTGAGGTTGGCGGAGAAAAGCTTAGCACGAGCCTGAGTTTCTGTGTGTGTGGAACAGAACACTTGTTTATTTACGGTGAGCACAAGCGTGTGAGTGGCCACGCTGCGTTCCTCTCTGATCGCACTACAGTGGCAGGGAGACTGGCGTGGGTGTGTCAGCCTGGAGAGAGGCGGCCGCAGGTAGAATAAGGTGAGTGGGGTACAGGACAAAGTAGGCTGCCACTGTTTGTGGATGATTAACAAGGAGATGAAGATAGTATTTGAGGAGCATTAATTAAAAAATTTTTGACTCTTTAAAAAAAGTTATCTGGTGCCCATAAAAGCTGTAGGCAATATATACCAAGTTAGGGGTGTAGGTTCTAGAATTCATCTTCTGTTTGCCTTACTTACCACCCTTGTGACTGGACAAACTAGTTAACTTCATTGAGCTTCTTGTCTTCACGTGTAAAGTGAAGATAAGAATAGTTCCCACCTCATACCACAGTGTCTGGTACCTGGTAAGTGCCCTATTACTACTAGTTATGATTATTCATAATAATCTGTTTAAAATCATGGGACAGTGATTAGGTGGTGATGGCTTTTTTTTGAACAGTGTGATAAAATTTACTAGTCACAAATTGCTTTGGGTTTCTTCGGTCTTTGTAAATACATATCTTAAACCTCTCTGATTAGCCATCCTGAGGAATTACTTTGACACAAAGTCTTCTATAATACAGTGTCTCATCAAAGGTTTCCCTTTCCTGCTGTTTTGGTAAATATTAGGCAGTTTTTAAAAGAAAGCATTTTAGGGGCGCCTGGGTGGCTCAGTTGTTAAGCATCTGCCTTCGGCTCAGGTCATGATCTCAGGGTCCTGGGATCAAGCCCCACATCAGGCTCCCTGCTTGGCGGGAAGCCTGCTTCTCCCTCTCCCACTCCCCCTGCTTGTGTTCCCTCTCTGGCTGTGCCTCTCTCTGTCAAATAAATAAATAAAATCTTTAAAACAAAAAAAAGAAAGCATTTTATTTTAAATATTTACTGATTTGGAAGTAGTTCCTTCTGCTTCTTTTTGCTTTCTGAATTACTGCAGTGTAGCTGGAAGTCAGCAGTTATAGCTGGTATGATGTATGAAGCATTTCAAAGATATGGTTAGTTATAAAATGTCATATTAAGTTAAAAAAAACTGAAGGGTCTACCATTTGCGAAGTGTTGCGGGGCTATAGCAAGGAGTAAATACGGTCTCTATTCTCATTTAGAAATAGCCAATCCAGAGGTGGAGAGTGCCCTGAAACCACCCTGAGAACCCAGTTCTAAGAAATACCTGCTAAGGGTTTGGCATTTTCCCTAGACAAGACATCACAATTTAGATTGCAGCAGATTAGCCCTTACTCATAAAATGAACCAAAATTCTCTTTTCTTCAGGTACATATTTTTGTCTGTCTTTATAGTTATTTTATTTATTTATTTTTTTAAAATTTTTATTTTTAAGCAATCTTTACACCCATCGTAGGGCTCGAACTTACAACCCTGAGATCAAGAGTTCCACGCTCCACCAACTGAGCCAGTCAAGCACCCCTACAGTTATTTTTTTAATTTTTATTTTATTTTATTTTTTTAAAGATTTTATTTATTTATTTGAGAGAGAGAGAGAATGAGAGACAGAGAGCATGAGAGGGAGGAGGGTCAGAGGGAGAAGCAGACTCCCCGCCGAGCAGGGAGCCTGATGCGGGACTCAATCCAGGGACTCCAGGATCATGACCTGAGCTGAAGGCAGTTGCTTAACCAACTGAGCCACCCAGGTGCCCCAAGCACCCCTACAGTTATTGATTGATTGATTGATTGATTGATTTTAGAGAGAGAGAGAGTGAGCATGCATGTGCATGCGTGCACAAAGGGGGAAGGGGCAGAGGGAGAGAGAGTCCTAAACAGGCTCTCTGCTGAGCGTGGAGCCCATTGCGGGGCTCAATCCCACGATCACGACCTGAGCTGAAACCAAGAGTCCAAGGCTCAACCAGCTGCACCACCCAGGCACAGTTTTTTTTAAATACTATATTCTAGAATGAGTATATCTACATATGAGATAAAAAGCCATCTAATCAGAACAAAGCTAATAAACAGAGGAAGCCCATGCTTCATTCACATTGAACTTGAGATTGAACAGGAACTTCTGTGGCCCTTATCTGTTTTATCAATACTAATTTTTCCCATTGATCTGAGGGACAGAGTCGTCATGCTTACTCTTAAGGTGTGACTTTGTAAGGTTGAGGCCTCAGCAGTCTCCCTGCAATAGTTGGCATCTTCATTAGGAGCTCAATGAGTTACAGACACTTCGTTGTTATGGATTACATCTGCGGTTGTTGAACTTTATCATATACAGTTTTGTTTGAGGTGCATGGGATGAGCATTAAATAGAAGTCCTCATCAGCAAGGCTGTCTGGTCCAGTAGAAGAAGGTCAAGATTGAGAAATAGAACATGTGGATACTTATACAGCTACTGGTGGTCCTAGGGCAGGGTACTTAAGTAGACCTCAGTTTTTCCTGTTTGTAAAATAAGGATAATACTGTTCTGCTGGGGACATTATGAGAATCAAGTTGGATGACATTGATTAAAGTATTTTAGAAGTAAAAATGATGTCATCCTTAGATGAGAGAAGATCTTTAGGGTTTAAGATATTTATTTTCCTTTTCCCTGTTCTGATTATTTTAGTGTGCTTTACTCTGTAGAAAGTCTGGAGTATCCGACTACTACGCTTTGGATGATCATCATGCCCTTCACCTAACTAGGATGATTGTGAGGAATTTAAATTATCAGAAGAAATTGGATGTGAGTTGGTTATGTTCTTACATCTTTTATTTTCTTCAAAAGCATTTTGGCTTATGTGACCTTGAATGATATCTTTAAATAGGTTAATATGGTTGTTTTATATTTCTGCAGGTTACTGTAGAACCTTCTGAAGATCCTTTATTTCCTGCTGATGAATTGTATGGAATAGTTGGTACTAACCTTAAGAGGCACTTTGATATTCGAGAGGTGTGTAGAGAGGGGCTGTGAGCTATAAACCATGATGTCAGTCTCGTTGTATGTGTATCCATTTTTTAAAGTTTATTTTTTAAATTTAAATTCAATTAATTAATATTTATTGGTTTCAGAGGTAGTGGTCAGTGATTCATCAGTCTTATATAATACTCAGTGCTCATTACATCACATGCCCTCCTTAATGCCCATCACCCAGTTACCCCATCCCCCCACCCCCTCCCATCCAGCAATCTCAGTTTGTTTCCTAGAGTTGAGTGTATCCATTTTTAAGGTGAAATCTGTTCAGATACCTTCCTGCCTAGAGCCTCTTATGGATTTCAGTAGGGTGTGACATAAAAGGGAAAGATCTCTTACTAGAAGGGAGAGGGGGATAAAAATCTCTTAATGGTTGGAAAGTTTTCATTGCACAATGATGGAGCTTGCTTTGTTCATAAATAGGACTGCCTATTCCTGTGGACGTTAGGAATGATGTAGGCAACTTCATAAATTTCATCTATTTCTTTTTAGTGCTCTTATTTTGGGAAGTGGAGGAAATGTCAGTACGTTGTGAAAGGAAAAAACATACCCTTTTAGATCAATATGACCTTAGCAGAGATTAGACTGTTGATTACATTCGAAGATGTTGCTATGGTTACAGATTGCTGACATGGTCTTCTTTGGTCTAGATTGATAATTTTTAGTGCTTGCATATAGCATGTAGTCTTATTTTGTTCACTATCCATATATGACAGAATACTTTTTAAATTAAGAAATAACCTTACTGTCAGTTTCTCTGCCTTCATATTTGTTAGTTTTCCTTTTGACTATAAAACTATTGTGTGCTAATTGTGAAAAATTGTAGAAAATGCAGAAAAACAGAAGATTGCTTATAATTCTACCATCCAGAGAAAGCAGTGAATATTTTGGTGTTTCAGCTTAATGTAATTTGTATATATATGTATATACATTTTTATGTAGCTGTGATCGTCTGTACATGTAAACATACACATGTATATTTTTAAAATTCTCCAGTTTAAATTACAAACATTTCTCCAATATTTATAAGTTCTTCTTGAAACCATTTCCATGACTAGGTCCTATTTGCTATAATAATACCTGGTGACATGGTAGGCACTCAGTAAATATATATATATATTTTAAAGATTTTATTTATTTGTCAGAGAGAGAGAGCACGCACGCACAGGCGGGGGGAGCAGCAGGCAGAGGGAGAAGCAGGCTCCCCGCTGAGCAAGGAGCCCAATGCGGGACTCGATCCCAGGACTCTGGGATCGTGACCTGAGCCGAAGGCTTAACCCAGTGTCCCTCAGTAAATATTTTTTTGAATGAATTGATGAATGTACTATCCCACCTATGGATGTGCACAGTTATTTATTGAGGCAATACCCTATATTAGAGGGTCTTAACATTCTGGATTTTTATGGAACTCCAACTGGTATTTCACTTTAGCAAGGTGACTTGGTTAACTATAAGTTATAGAATTAGGATTTTAGCTTGCCTTTTTCATTAATTACAGGCATATAAAATTTGATACTTAACAATCTGATATGCTTGAGAAATGAGTTGTTGTGGATAGCCAAGTGTTCTAGATGGCTAAGAATTCATCCTGTTAAACATAACCACTTTTTTTCATCTATTCAACAGTGTTTATTGAATGCTTGCTCTCTGAAGATGCTGTTTGAGGCACCAAGGGTACAGAAATGAGTGAAGCAGATGCACATCCATGCCTTCATGATAGTTCCATTTCATTTAAATGGAGGTCTTTTTATAAAGATAGACTTTTACCTTCTTAAATAGTTTCCTGGACTTTCTACCTTTTGCTGATTCAGGTTCATCATTGTGATGATCATGTATTATGCTTTTCTATAATTGCAAGTAAGTCTTATATGGAGGTCTTACTAGTATATGGAGCTGGGGGACAGCACTGGAATGTTCATTGGAAAATCTGGCTTGTAGTCCTTGTTTCCCTCGTCAGTGGTACTGGATTGGACCTCTCTGAGTATCGCTTTCCACTTCTAGAAATAGCCGTAGTACCAAATGATATGTCTGCTTCCTGAAGTGTGAGTCTTTGTGAAGATGAGTTAATATGTCTTATGTGGCTGGGTGGTGGTCATCGTAAAGCAAATAGGAGATAGCTTCATACTAAGTGGCCCTAGTTTGCTGTGCTCTTTGAGGGGCTTTATTTTTGTGTGAAAGAATGGTGGTTGTTGTGTGTTGATTGTGTTTTAGAAGGTACAGTTTTGGAGCTACATAGCATTTAGAACAGATAACTTATATTCCCATTACATTATCGGACCTTTTAGGAAAATAAAAAATAATTCCAACTATGCTCTTAATTTTTGGAAAGAATGATACTGGGAAGCATTCACTCATTTTTCAGCCTTTGCATGTTACAAAACAAGGCTTTGATGTGGTAAACAGGAAAAAGGAAGTTTGGACTAGAAAGAAGAATGGTGTGTATCATCTAAAATAGTTTCTGAAGAAATTTGGAATATGTTTGGAACTCTTTGAAATAGTCTCGATGTATATGATGAATCCCAAGGATAAACTATTTAGTAATTACTCCTTTTAGATTAAATATGTATATATGTGGGATCAGATTCAGAATCAAGGAATCTTTATTGAAGTCTTAATAATAATAGCTACTTTTCAGTGAGGGCTAGGCAGTGTGCTTTAGTTAGCACTTTTTAAGTATTATCTTCTTTTTTTTTTTTAACTTTTTAGGTTTTGATTTAAATTCCAGCTAGTTAACACACAGTGCAATATTAGTTTCAGGTGTAGAATCCAATGTTTCATCACTTCCCTACAATACCCAGTGTTCATCACAAATGCCCTCCTTAATCCCCATCACCCCTCTGGTCCATCCCCCAACCCATCTCCCTCCATCAACCCTCAGTTTGTTCTCTCTGTTGTTAAGAGTCTCTTATGGTTTGTTTCCCTCTCTTTTTTTCCCCTCCCCGTATGTTCATCTGTTTTGTTTCTTAAATTCCTCATTTAAGTGAAGTCATGTGATATTTGTCTTTCTCTGACCAATTCACTTAGCATAATACACTCTAGCTCCATCCACGTTGTGGCAAATGGCAATATTTCATTATTTTTGATGGCTGAGTAATATTCCTGTGTGTGTGTGTGTGTGTGTGTGTATCACATCTTTATCCATTCATCAGTCGATGGACATTTGGGCTCCCTCCATAGTTTGGCTACTGTAGATAATGCTGCTATAAACATCAGGGTGCATGTATCCCTCTGAATCAGTGTTTTTGTATCCTTGGGGTAAATACCTAGTAGTGCAATTGCTGGGTTGTAGGGTAGTTCATTTTTTTTTTAACTTTTTGAGGAAGCTCCATACTGTTTTCCAGAGTGGCTGCACCAGTTTGCATTCCCATCAGTGGTGCAAGAGGGTTCCCCTTATCTTTTTTTTTTTTTAATCAGATGAAAAAACTGGGGCTTAGGATTTTAGGTAACCAGCTTATGACTCTAGTTTCTCAGCAGTAGACCTGGGAGACATAGCTGGGTCTTCATCTCAGCATTATTTTTTTGGGTTCATCACATACTCACAACTTTGTCCCAACTTTGCAAAAGTGAGAACTGAGACTTTATCCAGGACACGCAAATCCTGTGCGATCCCTTTGTTGGGAGGCTAAGTCTCCTGACTCTGAGCCTATATCATGCTTTGTGATTGAATCCCTGACCCTTTGCCAATACTTTTGAGCAGCTCCTGAAGCTCTGAGTCCAGCTTCCAGCCCTCACAGTCTCTCTGCTTTTCTGGTCTGTACCATGGTGCTGTGGCTCTTACAGTGTGGTATGAAACCAGGGTCCAGAGTGACGTCAGGGCCTTCCCCCTGCATACAAAGTGGAATTCTGCTGCGAAGGCTCGCTCTGTAGGGTGAAATTCTGTGAAAGTGACAACTTAACACTGAACTTGTTTTCCTTATGAATAACTTTAATGTAAACATTCTTTTGTAATATAATCTCCCCGGGACATTGTTATTTTTCTTCTTAGGTCATTGCTAGAATCGTGGATGGAAGCAGATTCAACGAGTTCAAAGCCTTATATGGAGACACATTAGTTACAGGTAAAAAGGCAAAGAATTAAAAATATGAACATTTTTCTCTTTTTTTTTAAGATTTTCTTTTATTTTATTTAAAGATTTTATTTATTTATTTGGCAAAGAGAGAGACACAGCGAGAGAGGGAACACAAGCAGAGGGAGTGGGAGAGGGAGAAGCAGGCTTCCCGCTGAGCAGGGAGCCCGATGCAGGGCTTGATCCCAGGACCCTGGGATCATAACCTGAGCCGAAGGCAGACGTTTAACGACTGAGCCACCCAGGCGCCCCTTAAAGATTTTATTTTTTAGTAATCTCTACACCTGATGTTGGGCTTGACCTCACCACCCTGAGATCAAGAGTCCTATGTTCTCCCGACTGAGCCAGTGAGGCACCCTTGAACATTTTCTATTGCTTTGAAAATAAGTGATCTCTTGTCTCAAGGTATTGACGTACTTGGCGTGAGCTTTGTTATTTAGAGTGGTACAAGTGTGTGGGTCTGTATTCAAAAGGAGTTGTTTTGTGAAGGTCATGTGTAGCTGAATAGCTTCATAGGTCCTGAGTTTACGATGATGACAGCTAGATGCTATTGGATAGGACCTTGTCCAAGACTTGGTGGTCTTCACTGTATAAAAAACTTCTTATTGGGGCACCTGGGTGGCTCAGTCGGTTCAGCATCCAACTCTTGATTTTGGCTCAGGTCATGATCTCAGGGTTGTGGGATCGAGCCCCACGTGAGGCTCTGCACTGGGCATGGAGCCTGCTTAAGATTCTCTCCCTCCCTCTCTATCTGCCCCTCACCTCACTTCTCTCCCCTTCTCTTAAAAAAAAAAAAAGCTTCTTATCAAAGCAAAGTTAGCAGAAATATTTGTACTTCTTTTTGTTTCTCTGGATAATTTGTAATAATTTTGAAAATTTCAGCACTGTTTTCTTGGTTCTTTAGTCTTTAATTCTACTAGCAGGTTTTATATGATGTTGAGCTTCCTAGAAGGACATTAAGTAAGTTACACCTTCTCATAGCCTCTGTGTAGGTCTAACATTGAATCATGCAAACACTAGATTGAGACTACAGGACAGAAAACCAAATCTGAAAAAAACAAAATAAGGCTGTTTATAAAAGTTCATTCATTCATCTGAAATGTTGAGTTTGTAGGCTTTTGAAGAAAAGTATTTGAAACATAGATGTTAGACCCATAATAATCTATCTTGGACAAATGACAGAAGTAATTCTGTGAATTTTATTTGGTCTTATGAAAGCTAGAAAATGTAGTAAGTAACCTGGAGACAACATATCAGAGTAAAAAAAGATATAACTCACTACAAAAATCCAAATTGCAAATATACGTTGAGGCTTAAGGATAAATCACAACACTTTTCTCCTGGTTTGATTTATGAGCAACAAAAGGGTTCATAGTGGGAATGGAATTTATGCTTTTGTATTGAGGTGTTTAAGTGATTAAGAGCTTTTTGTTTGATATATATTTAGGATTTGTGACCAAATAGTTCAGGATGTAACCTCTTGTGCAGCAGTTTGAAACAGGTCAGAGCTGTTTCTCCTTCTCTCCCCAAAGATAGATGGACTGTCTTGGTCATCTGTTTTTAAGAATTTGCCCCTTACTTGCTGAAAGACTTGTGGTACCTTTGTCCCCAGAATACTAAGGATATATGTAGTTCCTCTATCTCTTCTTGACTGTACCGGAATTCAAATAAGATTGGGGAAAGAGAAGGGGTGTGAGAAGAAGAAGAGGGGCATGGGGAGTGGTGAGATGAGGAAGTATTGGCGGGGGAGGGAGAAGGACAGATTTTTCTGAGGATCAGGTGTCTCTGGCAGCTCTGAAGAGTTTCCTCCTGCCTCTGTACTTGCCTTCTATAGGCCCTAGCAGTTTCTTGGACATTTTGCTTTCCTGTTTGGCCCGAAGGAATTGGGGGAAGACACTTCCTCTGTGTCCCTAATATAGTGGGGCATGTGCCCTACTTAGCAGGTCCTATGCCTGGAGATCCCAGGCCAGGCTAAGGGTGAAAGTCTAAATAGCTCACGGGGCGCTATACCTCAGGGCAGTACCACACTGCTGAGAGATGTGCAGGATTCCTCGCTGTTTTTGTGGGGTGAGGCTGAACTCCTGAGTGGATTGCTAGACCTCTGGGGAAGGTTACCCCTCGGCATTGCCTCCGCAAGTGGTAGTGCCATTTAAGATGGACAGCATAGGCTTTGGGCCGGGGTTTTAGGACTGAAAGACCAAGAAAACCAAGACAAAGCCAGAGTAAAGAACGAAAACAAATTTTTAACGGTTCAGTGTTCTGGTGTATCCGTGGGTGGACATTCTCTCTTATCCATTCATTTTTCTTCAACAATTTTTCAAGTACCTGCTTTATTTATGTCACAGAACCAGAGATGTCTCCGCCACGGCCTGTGTGTCTTGAGCTTGAAGACAGAGCCTGGTTCTGGGCACTTTGGTCGCGTGCTTTCTTTGACCCGCTTCAACAAGCAGTTTGTTGACTCTTGGGTTCCAAGTCTTTGACACCTGTTCAGAGTCTTAAGTAGGCTTGTTGAAGTTCACTCTTGGGAAGCTTTCTCTAGCCAAGTTTTTCAGGTTTACAAAAACCTCCTGAAGTCACCTCAAGTGTCTCCCTCACATACTGTTATCCTCCTTTTCCTTCTCCCTTCCTTCTCCCTTTCTGTGTGTATGGACAGTGGGTGTCTGCAGTGGGAGTGGGAGTGGTGGTGAGATTCCATCTTCTGAGCTTAGCTGCATTTGTTACTGGAAACTCACGACCCCCGGGCTTGACTGTGTTCCTGCTTTTGAAAGCAAGTCTGCTTTTGCTGAGTTTATCCCCTTTACCTTGAGGGCCTGTCATCGCCACAGGCATTTTCAGGCAAGCCAGTCACCTGAAACCGGTGGAGAGCTCTGAACATGGGCCTTTAAAGGGTTCTCGCTCTGTGATTCTTTCCATTTCAGAATATCCTCTGTCTGGTACCTAGTGGGCACTCGGACATACATTACACGAACGAATGGGTGACACCCTAACCCCGTCATCTAACCAAACCAACCAGACGAGTGACAGCTTTACACAGAGCACTCTCAGGGAAGCAAAACACCCAGACTCCAATACCTTAGAAATAAAACACTGTGACACGAGCCGTTCTGTACCCTGGACAAAATCTCTACATTTTAAACTTTGATTTGAAATTAAGGAATGTATAACTATGTCTGTTAGCTGTGAATTAAAAGCCCTCTGAAATACATAAATCTTTTTTCAATTTTCTTTTGAGGATTTGCTAGAATATTTGGATATCCCATAGGTATCATTGGAAATAATGGAGTTCTCTTTTCTGAATCTGCAAAAAAGGCAAGTGGTGTTAAACATGTTTCAAAATTTTCTGTTTTAATTTAAACATAATTTGCTTTGAAGGTCAAGTAATGAATGAAAGTTTATTACATAAAAACTTTGAAATATTTAAAAGGCTTAAAATATTTAACCAGATGCCTTAGTAGGCAGAACACTATGTGTACGTGCATGTGAACGTGTGTGTGTGTGTTAGTGCTTGAACAGTTTTTATGGAGGTTTACATTAACCTGTTTTATCTAGAGCACTATTTTTATTTTATTTTTATTTATTTTTTTAAGGTTTTATTTATTTATTTGTCAGAGAGAGAGAGAGAGAGAGCATGAGCACAAGCAGGGGGAGCAGTAGGTAGAGGGAGAAGCAGGCTCCCGGCTGAGCAAGGAGCCGGATGTGGGACTCGATCCCAGGACCCTGGGATCATGACCTGAGCGGAAGGCAGACACTTAACCCAGTGAACCACCCAGGCATCCCAACTAGAGCACTATTTAAAAAATCCCATGTTTTAAAAAGTTCTTATAAGATACATGAATTATAAATGCTGTGGATGACATGGACATAGCCTAAGACTTGAGAATCCTTGTCTTGGGAGTGTTTATATTCTGTTTTCTTTTAAAGTAGAAAACTGAGGAATTCTCTTATGGCGAGGCTCAGGAATTCCTGCTGATAAGCAGTTCTTCTCTTCGTTTCTTGAGTTTCACTTGCTGTTCAGAATGTTCGTGATTGACGTCACCCTACAGCTCTGTGCCAGTGATCACATGGGCGACTGCAGAACGCATGCGGTGCCAGCCCAGTCACACGTCCTGTTGGCCGTGGGTGCGCTCGGTGGTATTGTTACTAGCCAGTCACAGGGCGCTCTTCCTGACTGCTGACCCGAGTATGGTGTTTGCAGGATACATGAGGGACGCAGATTTCTTAACCCCCTCTTTATTTTATTTATTTATTTTTTTGAGATTTTATTTATTTGACAGAGAGAGAGAGAGTGAGAGCAGGAACACAAGCAGGGGGAGTTGGGAGAGGGAGAAGCCAGCTTCCTGCAGAGCGGGGAGCCCGACGCGGGGCTCGATCCCAGGACCCTGGGATCATGACCCAAGCCAAAGGTAAACACTTAACGACTGAGCCACCCAGGCGCCCCTTAACCCCCTCTTTAAAAATATTATCTTCTTTGCTCTTAGGGGGCTCACTTCATCCAGATATGCTGCCAAAGGAATATTCCTCTGCTGTTCCTTCAAAACATTACCGGTAAGAAAATAGCTTAATCAGTCTTGTTGCATTATTCCAGAGCCTCATTGTCCAGTATGACTCCAGTATTGGACAGTGTAGACCTAGAACACTTCTGTCATAGCAGAAAGTTCTATTGGATACTCTTTGTAGAGTCTCTTTTAGGCTTAACCCTAATATATGAGAAGTTTATCCATATTTGGATAAAGCAGTTTCTGAGTTACCCGTATCACCATCAGACGGCTTCCCTTTCCCCTTCCACACGCATACCTACCCCTCTAGCAGCAGCAGGGCTGTGTTCTCTACCAGGAACACTCTGATCTCACTCTGAGGGCGTTGTCTGTCCCATCGTCTCTGAGCTAACACTTTGTTTTCCTTAAAGGACTTCATGCACATTCTGTGGTTCACCCTTTGCCTCATCTTTTCTTGTGTAGTTAATTCTGCCTGAAGCGACATATTATAAAAGGTCTATGCACATCCTGAACAATAGTCTGGGGATTTGAGTTTAGATTCCAAAGAATGGTGTGATCAATATCACCTCTCTGGATTTCATGTTTCACAAATGATCTTAATAGGGTGGATGAAATGATTTGTAAGGTTTTCTGGTTGTAGATTTCTTTTTCTTAGAATTCTAGAATTCTATTATTTATATTGTATGTTGCACTTAGATATGTTGGTTAGCTGAAAGCGCCCCCCCCCCCCAATCTTCTAAGTGATCTGTGGTTATCTCAGGGTCAAAGGAAGGAGGGCTCTTAATTAGTTGTTAGAATCAGGCAAGTCTTCACAAGAAAAAGGAGCTTGGCTCATGGTGGTCAGCAGGACTTTAAATAGTCCTGGTGCTAAAACATCTTTATCTGGTGCTGCTCTTAAGTTTATGATACTTTGTTAGATGAGTTTTGAGAGGCATTCTATCCAGAACGAAGCCTGAGGGGGTCCTATGTGGCAAACCTGGTAATAGGGCAAATAAAAAGGATTCTGAGGCTTCACGAGTCCAGGAACCTTGCTTCTAATAATGGTTCATGGTTTCTTAACCACTAGTAAAGTAAACCTTCTTCCTGGAAGATATACCTACGTTTTTGTTCTTTGGTATTGAGTTGGGTTAGGGGCAGAGGGCAGAGGTTGAGTTTGGTTTTGGAACCTTGCATTTGAGATACTTGTGTGACACTCATGGAGATAACATATATGCAGATGGCAGTTGAATAAATCTTGAGCACAGAAGACATGTGTTAGCTGCAGGTGAGAATGTAGGCGTCCTCAGAATAGGTAGATGTTATTTGAAGCTGTGGGAAGAGATGAGAACACCCCGTGGGAAGAGAAGAGGGCTCAGGGACAGTCTTTGAGTAACTCTGATTTCTTCCACAGAGATGAGAGTAGAGGAAGGAAGGGAGCACGAAGATGTTGGGTTTTTTTTTTTTTTTTAAAGATTTTATTTATTTATTTGACGGAGAGAGACACAGTGAGAGCAGGAACACAAGCAGGGGGAGTGGGAGAGGGAGAAGCAGACTTCCCGCAGAGCAGGGAGCCCGATATGGGACTCGATCCCAGGACCCTGGGATCATGACCCGAGCCGAACGCAGACGCCCAACAACTGAGCCACCCAGGCGCCCGAAGATGTTGTTTTTAATGCTGGGAAGGATTGGAGAAAGACAAGTGGGGCGGCATAATCTTTTTCAAGGCAAAATCTATAGGGACTAGAGAGGCGGTGGGGTGTCGGCTCAGGGAGCAGGGCTTGAAGATGGCTGCTACTTGAGACGGCTACTGTGGAGTGTTTTCAGGAGTCCAGACAAGGCAGAAAGAGGAGCTGCGACCTGTGGTGAGGGCCCTGCTCAAGGGTCCCAGGGAAGCCCATCGCGCCGGCGAGGGGAGGGCTGTCCTGTCAGTACTGTTGTAGCTACAGCTTGTACAGGTGCCTCAGAGAAACTGAGTGGAATCGGAGGACTCCGTGGCTGGGGGCTTGCAAAGCAAAGATAGTTTGGGTTCTGTGAGGGGAGGAGGAACGCGCCCGGAAGGCCCGGAAGGCCCAGGGTGACTGCTGAGCAGTTTCAGCAGAGCTGGGAGCTTGAGGCAGTCGAGGAATCCTGCTAATTGTGGAAAATTCTTCTACCTCGCTATTGAGTCACTGGCAGGCGCTCTCAGCATCGATGAAACATTCATCTTTATTTCTTCCGAGTTGTTTTTTTTTTTTTTAAAGATTTTTTTTTCTATTTATTTGAGACAGAGAGAATGAGAGACAGAGAGCATGAGAGGGAGGAGGGTCAGAGGGAGAAGCAGACCCCCTGCCGAGCAGGGAGCCCGATGCGGGACTCGATCCCGGGACTCCAGGATCGTGACCTGAGCCGAAGGCAGTCACTTAACCAACTGAGCCACCCAGGCGCCCTGCACTTTGTATTTCTTTTTTTTTTTATTTTAAGATTTTATTTTATTTATTTGAGAGAGAGAATGAGAGAGAGAGAGAGCACATGAGAGGGGTGAGGGTCAGAGGGAGATGCAGACTCCCTGCTGAGCAGGGAGCCCGGTGCGGGACTCGATCCTGGGACTCCAGGATCACGACCTGAGCCGAAGGCAGTTGCTTAACCAACTGAGCCACCCAGGCGCCCCCAGAAGGAGCAGTTTCTGTATTGAAGCAGGTCCGTGAGTACCGGAGGCCTCACAGTGCGCCTTGCCACAGCCCTTTGTCCTCAGCCTGCCGGGTCACGTTCTTTCATCGCCAAGCCGCTGTCCTGAGAGAATTTTTTGAAGATAAGTTTCTTGCACCCTTATCTCGCTTGAAGATCTTTGTGTGCATCCAGATGAACCATTCTAAGGAAAACTTTAGAAATGATTAAAAAATTGTATTTTATCTTTTACAGCACCCTTTTTGGGGGGATATAGTTCATGTACAAATATTTCATTACAGTGAGAGGCCTTGTAGTAAAATATAGTTGGTAAGCTGTCCTTCAAATACCATGTTGGAATTGACTTCTGCCCATAAATCCCATCATCCGGAGGCTTTTTTTCTTTCCTTTCTTGTAGGATTTATGGTCGGTAGAGAATATGAAGCTGAAGGAATTGCCAAGGATGGTGCCAAGATGGTGGCTGCTGTGGCCTGTGCCGAAGTGCCTAAGATAACTGTCATCATTGGGGGATCTTACGGGGCTGGAAACTATGGGATGTGTGGCAGAGCATATAGGTAGGTGGTTGTCGTGGTTTCCTCCGAAACAAAGAATTACACTTCAAGCATAATTACAAGTGGGCAGTTCGTTACGGGTTTATTTGAAACACAGAGTGACATTTGCAGATCTTGGTCAGTGATACCATAATTTGTATCATCTGGAGGAGCGAAATGAAGTGTAAGGCTAAACGTGCTACTTGGAAGAAATCCACAATGGGAATCAGGAAGTATTTTGAAATGGCTGATGATGAAAATACTACATATCATAACTTAAGTGATGCAGCTAAAGTCTTGCTTTGAGGAACGTGTGTAGGAGACGTAAATATATATATATTGGAAAAGAAGTAAGGCCGAAAATCAATGAGCCAGCTCAGGAAGTTCACAGAACAGCATATTAAACACAAGAAAAATAGAAAACAGGACATTATAAAGATAGAAGAATCAGGGAAGGCCAGAGCTGTTTTTGTTTAAAAACGGTTAACAAATTTGATAATCTCCTAGTAAAACTAAAAAATAAAGCAGAAAGGCTTTATTTTATATCAGGAATGGAAAACAGGACATGACCACAGATAATAAGGGGATATTTTGAATGTTTTTATGCCCAGTAAATTGAGATGAGATGCGAAAATAAAATTGATCAGAACAGACATCACAATCACCTGGAGAATTTAGAAATCCTACTCCATTCAGGCCACACCTCTGGAGATTAGCCTGGGGTGGGTTCCAAGCCTGGTTTTCCCCTTGTAATGCACAGCTAGAACGAAGAACCACTAATTTAGAAGGTAAACGCAGGCCTGTGGAAATTGCTGTGTTGTACAGTGAATTAACTTCATCATTTTTTCTCTTCTCCCCGCACAGCCCAAGATTCCTCTACCTGTGGCCAAACGCTCGCATCTCAGTGATGGGAGGAGAGCAGGCAGCCAATGTGTTGGCCACAGTAGCAAAGGACCAAAGAGCACGTGAAGGGAAACAAGTAAATGCCATTTCTTCTGCCTCTCTGGGTTTGGCTTTTACCACTGAACACTCTGGAGGCAGGGAGCAGCATGCCCAGAACCTCTCAGTGTTCATGGGTCAGGGTCTCACCCCAGGGCCTGGCTTCATTTAGAAGATGCTGACTTTGAGAAATACCGACTTACATATGCTCTGTCTCCCTTCTTAGAGCCACTTAATTTGAGGTCCCTTCTTGTAATTTTTCCGACTCTCCAAGAAAACTCTTCAGAAACTGTGCCTGCGAGTGCCTGAGGCATAAAGGTGTTTGGCTCTTAGTCATTTGCCATTAGTGAGATTTAAAGAAATGTGATGTACTTCTTTGGTTTTATGACTGAAAGCAGCAGAATTTTGTTTTTTCAGTTTCTGCCTTAGATTGTCTTTGAGTGGGAGGGCTCAGTCATCTAACTGAGAAATGAGTAACATTATACTGTGCATGGATAAATGATGGAAAACGGAGAGGTCCCTGGCAGCTTGATGAAAGGCAGATCAGCAAGGGGCTGCTTTTAGTTTTGCTGCGTGTTAACAGGGGTACTTTAAGGGATTATTATTTAGGTCTCGTCAGCAACATCAAACAAAAGGTACTGGGGACTCCACAGGGTAGTGTGCCCCCAAGCACCTTAGAAAATTTACATGACTCGGAGAAAATGCGGTTCTTGCCCCTTAAGGAGCTGCCATTCTGGGGGCTGACAACTCACAGTCTAAGGGTTGCGTGAACAACAAGGTAATTTATTAAGGCAGGTTCTTCACTGCAGGTTTTTAAAGTGGATTCTTTGTTTGTGTCTCAGAGATTCTTAAGTTTCGCATTAATTTTTTTTTTTTTTTGAGAGAGCGCACACGTGCACGAGTGGGTGGTGGGGAGCAGCGCAGAGGTGGTGATGGGGCAGAGGGAGAGAGAATCTCAGCAGGTCCGATTCAGGGCTCGGTTCTATGACCCTGAGATCATGACCTGAGCCGAAATCAAGAGTGGGAGGCTTAACTGACTGAGCCACCCAGATGCCCCCTCACTAATTTTTGTTAGTTAGAACTTACAGCTATTTTGTGTAAGCACCAAGCCTTCAAATGATTGATGCATTTCTTGGAATTGTTCAAGTGTGCTGTTTTATCATAACAGGGCATAACATGGAGGAGGCCTTGCCTTGAAGGCTCTCATTCCTGCTATTTAGGGGTCATCTGGTCAACTGTCTGGTGGTGGGATGGGGATAAGATAAGCATGGAGGGTGGGCCCTAGCTCCCTGAATGCATCCCAAACATGCCCCACATCCTCAGTCGTCTTTTCTAAGCAGCAGGAACTCTGCGCACTTAACACTGAGGTTTCATATTCACTTCAGTGCTGATTAGTATCCAAGCAAAATGAAATGTTTATTTGTGTGTGTTTATGTGTGTGTGTGATGGTGGGGGCATAAAGTCCACCTGATACATATTTTTTTAAAGATTTTATTTATTTAGAGAGGGAGAGAGTGGGTGTCAGGGGAGGGGCAGAGGGAGAGAATCCTCAAGCAGACTCCACGCTGAACATGGGGCCCCACGTGGAGCTTAATTTCACAACCCTGCGACCAGGACCTGAGTCAAAATCAAGAGTCAGATGCTTAAGCAGCTGAGCCACCCAGGCGCCCCTCTACCTGATATTTTGAAGACTTATCTTAAACCGTAGCTCAGTAGTCTCTTATTAGATAGTTGTTCTTTGATTAATTTGACTTACAAATCTATGGATTTGTCTCTTTTTATATATGAAAGGAAAGTACAGGATTTTAGTGGTTCTCCCTCCAAATTCTTGACATAAAATTATATTAAACTATGAAAGTACATAAAAGAAGGTTGGATTTATTTATCATTTATCATTTGTTTTTGGTGTGAAATACTTTTTTTTTTTTTTAAGATTTTATTTATTTATTTGACAGAGAGAGAGACACAGCGAGAGAGGGAACACAAGCAGGGGGAGTGGGAGAGGGAGAGGCAGGCTTCCCGCTAAGCAGGGAGTCCGATGCGGGGCTCGATCCCAGGACCTGGAATCATGACCTGAGCCGAAGGCAGACGCTTAACGACTGAGCCACCCAGGCGCCCCGGTGTGAAATACTTTTTAAGTTGAAAATATTTTTCAGGGTTTCAAAATCAGTTTGCATAAAGATTTTTACAACTGAATTAATTATCACTTGTTTCTGGCAATACGGGTGGGCAAGCCACTAAATTTTTAATTAGGGAAAAATCTCTCTCAGCTCTTTGAACTTATTCAAGTTGTGGTGGTTGTTTTATCCCTTTAAGCTTTAAAATTTTCTGAATTTGGCTCTTTTGAATGAAAATTCCCTACGTGTCCACTTTTAACAGAAGCTGCTAAATGTAAGGTTGCCCTCTCACTACATTGTATAATTCACATCCATTGTTGGAGCCTGCTAGAATATGTGATACCCTTGGTTTTGAACTTTACCCTAAATGGCTTCAGGATGTTGTCTCTGATAAGGGAGATGTAATGATGCACCAATGGCACTCATGTCTCAGGTGAGATCTTGTGTGTGAAAGCATCACTTGTAATCTCTATATATCACTGTGCAGATGTTGGTTGTAACATCATTATTCATGAAATGCTTGCCCCTTTTTTCTTGAGGTTCTCTTGAGTGGATCTGTTGTTTTATTGCAGTGGACTGACTCATGGTCCTTTTTCTTTCAGTTCTCCAGTGCTGACGAAGCAGCCTTAAAAGAGCCCATCATTAAGAGGTTTGAAGAGGAAGGAGACCCTTACTACTCCAGTGCAAGGTGGGAGCCAAGGAATAACCATCTCCCTGATGGGTGCATCTGGGCTGTCAGGGCGGCAGCTTTACAGAGATCTGGACAGTTGGGTTGGTCCAGCCTTCATGGGAACCACAAAGGAACGTTTGGACACACTTAATTTCATATTGTTCTGTCTATAATGGGAATGTCTGCTGAAACACCACCCCCTTCTCCCAGGCTGGGTTGTGCACCCGCCACCATTGGTCTGATTCTGCAACCCTCCCCCGCTTCTTCCTTATCCCACTTATAGGTGAGGTGTCTGGGCCTACAGAGGCTGAAAAGTTTAAGAGTTAAGAGTTATCCTGGCTGTGTTGTTTTCAGGAATTCGTTCTTTTATAATGTTTTGCTTCAACATGTGGATTCCTGTCCTATCACTCTTTGATTATTTCCTGTTTACCCCATTTTAAACATGAGATTGGCTGGATATTTGTGGGCACTTCTAACAAGCGTGCTTGTGCATTCAGAAGGTGATTGCTCACAGCCAGGGTCTATGTGTCAACACCAAGTAATCACCCCACACGCCATTGAAGCTCTTGGTTCTGTTTGTTTCTTACCCCGCTTAATGAGGTAATAAATTATCATGGCCTGCCCGGGCTGGAGGCTGGCTGGCGTGTGTGCATTAAGATCTCTGTTTTCAGCAACTTTAATGTTCTTCATTCGGAAGAATAGTCTAAGCTTCCTATCTTCATCTTATCCCTTGGGCAGATGGAATAAAGAAAATAGCTATTTGTGTCTTTCAAAATTAGGTTATGCTGTGATTTATGTCATTTACTGGTGAAGGTACGCTGGGGAGGAAGGAGAAAAGAAAATAAATTAGAATTCATTCAGTCATCTGAACACAACTTTTGTGGCAGGCGCTGCTCCTAGCACTGGGGGTACAAGGGCTGAATATACTTATTTTCAAGAGCATATTTAATTTCAGGATGAAAATAACACCATTTGGCATCTTTAAAAGGCCCATTTCTTTTCTTGTTAATACGTATTTTCGCCAGCAAATTCGCAGATATATTTTGTTGTTGTGGGTCTTTGATTGATTTAGTTAAGACCAACGTATTTTATAGTCTTTGAGACCTAAACATGTTCTTGTTTACCATCACTTAAACAGACTTCTATAGTAGCCAGTAAAAGCAAAGAGGAAATAGAAAACCCTAAAAAAAAGGCTTAAGAGAAAATAATAAATTGTAAGCTCCCCTACAGTTTTTTGTTTCTCCGTAAGATTTTGAGTGAAATTCACGAGGATGGTTGAAATATTAAACTTTGAAAAATAGTGTATCTTGTATGAGCCATTAATAAGTTTTTCAGCCCTGGCTAAGTCATCTTTTGAGAAAGACTGAATCCCTTATTATTTTCATGCTTACATTAGTATTATTATTTTAATGGACTGTACTCAAGGCAGGAAAGCAAATGGCCCAGATAGATTTATCTTTGGAAATAAATATTGTAAGACACGAAGGTTTTTCTGTTAATCTGAGGATGCTTAACCCTTCTGTTGAAACACTTGGTGGCAGGGGGATAGCAATTTTCTTTCAAAGATGAAAGGATTTTCAAGCCAATTTACGGTTCCTTCCTCAGGTTTAGTAAATCTCAGCTTAACAGTAACCTTCTGTGGTCTGTTTCAGCTCTACCATGGTTGGACCTGTCTTTTCAGAGAGCTCTTTCATTATCCACTGCTGTAATCTGTGTTTCTCCTAATCCCTCATTTTAGAGGTACAGCCTGCCTGTTTTCTTCTGCTCACTTCTTTTTACAATCAGAACTTTTTCAGGCATTTGATCAGGGCCTCTTACCTGGAATGGTCATTTTCATGACCATCACAAAGGGGCCCTGGCTTTGCCGTGCTCGCTGGATTCTTCTGCTGTAGGCTTCAGAAGGGAGTGTAATCAATTGACCTGGTTACGCATGACAAGAGTGGCCTTTTCCTTATTGGCTGTTGATACGTCAGGGTCCCTGTTATGAATGTTTTATGAGCAAAGATTTGATTCATGGCCTGTTGATGTAAGTATGGTTTAATAATTGATGCTGTTGTCCAGATACCGAAGGCAGTTTGTTTAAAGAAAGCCAAACTGCCACCTACTAATGACCTTTAAAAAACAGTATTTCTCTTTCGTTTTTCTTTATAAAATTGAGGTTGTCAGTGAAAAGCAAACACATTCCTACTTCAAAGTTTCTTTTGTAGGCAGCTTAAAGCAATTACTTATTTTCCTATTGTAGCAAAAAATAAAGAGCTTATATTGAAGGTATTTTATTAACCAAATGTAGTGAAGTCTCTTCAGTAATTGTCATCGTTTCTTGAAAGTTTGGGAGTTTGGGGGAATACACCTTTTCCGGTAGAGACTTTGGTTTGAGATTATTACCTGGGTTCAGGGCCTCTCTCCATATTAATAACAGGGACACATCAACTTGTACATTTGGATGGGGGCGGAAGAGGAACAGGAAACATTTTCCTGAAATACATAAAAATTTGTTAAAATTAAGGATTATTCTGAGGTTTCTAGAAGCAGTTCCCAAAGCCATAAGCTCACTCTGACATCTGTGAGGGCCTGGGATGAAAGTCCTGTCGTTTTTCTTTCTCTCTTTTCCCCTCCTTTGAAGGTGGTTTCGGTTGTGAGAATGTAGCGCACAGAAGCTCATCAGTCAATCCCTCTAGGACCTGAGGAAAAACCCCAGCGTTTCTGGACATAAATTGTGTAAATGGTTGTTCGGTGATGGAATCCTAATAACTTGTGTTTTGTTCTTTTATCAGGCTGTGGGATGATGGGATTATTGATCCAGTGGACACCAGACTGGTGCTGGGTCTCAGTCTTAGTGCGGCCCTCAACGCACCAATCCAGAAGACTGACTTCGGCATCTTGAGGATGTAACTGGAATATAAGGCATCTTCCATAGGACATGTACCAAAAATTAATGTACTGGTAGCCTTAAAATTTTAGACTTTTCCAACATGTGGCTATTACGGTAAAATTGTTTTCTCAACACACTGCATTGTACTTTTCTACCTTAAAAAAAAATCAGTGAAGATATTTATTTGATGAACTTCAATTCCTTGTCCATTTTCTTAGAGCAATTTTTCTGTGGCTCCACTTTACCACCCATAAAATGAAGAGAATAACTTACAGTTAGCCTTTCTAACCCACGTGAAGTATGAAAAGTTCCATAACCTATAAATCCCAGGTATGATTGAGATTATTCACAGAAAGTTGTTTTTCCACCGAAATGATTGCTTTGCTGATTATGCACGATGCTATTTTAACACACATAATTTTTAGAAGCATCTATTACTTTGCCTTTCAGCCACCATCCTACTCCTTCCTGTAACAGTCAGACTTGTTGCTGTCTGCACTCGGGGCTCTGTTTCCTCCCCATTCTCTCTTCAGCCTACACCTCATCGGCTTCCACTGCCAACAGCCCTCTCCAAGGTTGGCCTCCATGTTGCTGAAGCCAGTGGGTTCTTTCCCGATGTTACTGGACTGAATTTTCTGTGGCATTAAGAGCAGTCAAACACTTGTTCCTAGCAGTGCTATCCTTAGCTTTCAGACTGTAACTCTAGGTTTTCCACCAACCTCTTTGGCCCTTCTTGTTCCGCCTCCTTTGTCAGGCTCTGTTCCTCTATGCATTTCTCTCCCACTCCCGTCACCATTTGTCCTGATTTTTCATTAGTAAAACATGAATAGATTCTGATTCTGAAAGATACAAAAATAACATGAAAGTATCTCCTCATTCTTTTTGAAAAATTGTGGTAAAATATATATTACATAAAATGTACCATTTTAACCATTTTTAGCTGCACGGTTCTGTGGCATGAAGTCCATTCACACGGTCGTGCAACCATGGCCACCATCCAGCTCCAGAACTTTTCATCATTCCAAACAATAGCAGCTCCCCATTCCCTCTCCCCCCAGCCCCCGGCCCTCTCCTCATTCTTAAATGCAGGTGTTTCTCATGGTTTGGTTTATTCTCGCTGGGTCATTTCAGGCCTTATGGCTTCGGTGGCCATCTGAATGTGGATGATTCCTGCATCAAGGTTGTTCTCCCTGAGCTCCAGACCTGTGTATCTAACGGGTCTACTGGATGTCTGCACTGATGGACTTATAGGAACCTCAGATTCAATCATCAAGGTCTATTGATTTTGCCTCCTGTCTTTTGGATTCCCCATTATTTCCATCTTTCACCACCACGGGCTTTAGAAGTGGTCTATCTGCATCCAGTCTTAGCTAGTACTGCTTCCCCATCACTGCGAGATGAAGATGGCCATTCTAAGTGTGCATCTGGTCATGCTGTTCCTTTGCTCCAATGTCTCACTGGTTCCCTGTCGAAGTGCCAGACCTGTCATGCTCTCCAGGACTGTGATCATCACATCCCCTCTTCTGCCTCATCTCCTTGACTCTTCCTCACGCTCGGTGCTCTAGCTGTTACAGATTTCTTGTTCCTTGAACCTGTAGAGTCCTTCCCACCTTAGGGTCCACCACCCAAGGTTCCCTCTGCCTGTACCATCCTACCTTCCCTTAAACACTTACCTTTTTGTCTCTGTGACTTCCCTGGTTTGGGTTAGACGCTGTGCTCTCGTAAAGCCGCAGCCACTTTCTTCTCTGTCTTACATATTTATGAGAAACCTAAACATTTCTTTAATACTGCCCTCCTGCTAGAATGTAAGCTCTCTGAGAGCAAGGATGTCCTGTTTAGCCTGCAGCTGCAGGCCCTAGCACTTGTAGGTGCTTACGTATTTGTTGAGTGAATGAGAAATCCATATTTTAATTGATGTCTTCAGACCACATTACAATTAAATGACTGATTATGTGATCTAATACAACTATCCAGTGCTTTCCTCATAAAATTAATACTTCAAACTTTGTGTGTCATGTTCAATTTACACAGCATTTGGGGCACCTGGGTGGCTCAGTTGTTAAGCGTCTGCCTTCGGCTTGGGTCATGATCCCGGGGTCCTGGGATCGAGCCCCACGTCGGGCTCCCTGCTCGGCCGGGAAGGCTGCTTCTCCCTCTCCCACTCCCCCTGCTTGTATTCCCTCTCTCACTGTGTCTCTGTCAAATAAGTATATAAAACCTTAAAAAAAAATTTTAGGCAGCCTTTGTGTATCAGAAATCAGTTTAATTTTTTGAGATGTGTACAGATAAATGCTCACAGTTCAGAGGTGGGCTGCATTTTCAGAAGGATGTGGGACAAGGTCACTGAGAGGACATCCCCTCCCCTTTCCTTGGAAAGTTCCCCCACCCACTGTTCCTGTAGGGGGAGCCATTTCAAGAACATAGCCTTGAGAGAGGAAGGTGTTGAGACCATCTGAACCCAGTTAAGCTTCTTTATAAATAAGATTCTGGCCCGTGGGTGTGGAGATGATCTCGTGTTGTGGAGGATGCAGGCCACGCTCAGAAGTGCATTCCCTCGCATACCAATGCGGAGTGGCCTTCTCTCTCCCATCTCTCCCTTGGCCTCCCTGTTCTGGGGCCAGTTTTCGAACCAACAAAGGGGACACGGTAAGCATTTTAAAATAGTAAATTATATTAAAGTTTCAGTTAAAATTTACATCCATGTCAGAAAACAAAAATTTTTTAAAAAATCAAGTGTAGGTAATACTGCTTTGCTATGAATCCTCAACAAATCAAAGATTGATGAATTTTTTAGGACTGTTTTTATCTCTCTAAAGAAATTGTTCTCTCTAAAAAGATCACCATCATCACGAGCACCACACTTAAAATAGTTAAATTATGTTACATAGTTAAGCCAATACAAAAAAATTGTTTTATCAAAACAGGCAGCATTTTTCGTCTGCCCCCTCCTAACTTTACTGAGACATAACTGACATTTCACATGGAAGTTGAAGGTGTACAGTGTGATTTGATACACTTATATTGTGAAATGTTTACCACAATGTGGTTACTTAACACATTCACCTCACAGAACTTTTTGTTTGGTAGGGAGAATATTTTTTTTTTCTACATCTCAGTTCTTATAAATGAGAATTGCAGCCAGGATAATAGGAGTAACTTAGAATCTTAAGTATGCAGCAAATTAATCTAAATTAGCCACTCTGGGTACTTCGAGAATAAAAGAGACAAAATTAATTGTATTTTTCAGTTTTCAGGAAAAAAATTTCAATTAAGAATTTGTTGAAATTTTTTACACTACCAGAAGACGCTGCTGAATGTTGTTGAATGTGCAAGTAAAATTATCATTTGCCAGATGTGCATGTTCATGCGTAAGGCACAACTAGAGAGGCTGGTATGACCTTTACAAGGGTAGGTAACGGCAGCTTATTCCATGATTTAATAAGACTTTTTTGGGGAGAGGCCACATAGTCCTTGTTGGTTCTGAAATGTGTTCGTTGGTGTCCTGGAATGATGATTGATTATTCTGGCCAAAGCCAATTTCTTACAAATCTTAATTACTGGTTCTGAAATTCAGTATTTAGAAAAACTGCAAGAGGGCGCCTGGGTGGCTCAGTTGGTTAAGCAACTGCCTTCGGCTCAGGTCATGGTCCTGGAGTCCCGGGATCGAGTCCCGCATCGGGCTCCCTGCTCGGCGAGGAGCCTGCTTCTCCCTCTGACCCTCCCCCCTCTCATGTACTCTCTCTCATTCTCGCTCTCTCAAATAAATAAATAAAATCTTTAAAAAAAAAAAAAAAAAAAAAAAAAAAAAAAAGAAAAACTGCAAGAGCATGAACTAGATAATCATGGTCTCTGGTTATTTATGACATTTCTTTGCAAATGTTAGAAATTACAATTAGTATCTAATAATGCCAGGTTTTTATTGTTTTAACAAAAGGTCATACCACCAAACACTTAAAAATATATATATTTTTTAATTTAATGTGCCTCAAATTCTCTTGTTATATAGAATCAGAATGCTAAGGATAAAGTTGCTCTTGGAGCTAAATGAAATTTCTATCTACTGACCTTTCTAGGCAAATGTACATTCCAGGTGAGGTTTGTAATCAAGCTAATTGATGATCCACCCTGGGATACTTGGGAGGGAACAGGCCCTGCTGTGAATTACACTGGGGAACGGGTGTGAGCAGATTGGGACCTCTGCTCTCTCTCTAGTTGATTATCACTGAGGACCAATGGATGTCAGGTTTTGATACCTCTTAAAAGCCACTCTTCCAGATACCTGCTTTGTAACGTTTTCGTGGCTTAAAAACAACAACAACAAAAACAAACAAAAGCAATACAAGTTTATTCTGTTCTAGTTGTGGAGGCCAGAAGTCTAGAATCAAGATATTGGCAGGGCTGTGTTCACTCTGGAGACTGAAGGGAAAATCCATTCCCTTGTCTTTTTCAGCTTCTAGAGGTCGCCTGCCTGCTTTGTAACTTTGTGGATTTCAGCATTATATCAAACACATGATATGTGTTAGCATTCTAGAGAGCCATTTAATCGGCTCAGGAGGAGAGTTTACCACAAGGCAGGGGCAATTTTCTTTTCTTTTTCTTTTTTTTTTTAAAGATTTTATTTATTTATTTGACAGAGATAGCGAGAGCAGGAACACAAGCAGCGGGAGTGGGAGAGGGAGAGCAGGCTTCCCGCCGAGGAGGGAACCCGATGTGGGGCTCGATCCCAGGACCCTGGGATCATGACCTGAGCCGAAGGCTGACGCTTAACGACTGAGCCACCCAGGCGCCCCGGCAATTTTATTTTCTGTAGCACCCAGCATGTCAGTGTGTCTTGCTGCTTTTCCTTTTACAACGGTGACCCAAATCACAGGTTTATGCTACTCCTTAGGTTAAGAGAGAGAAGGGTTGGGGCGCCTGGGTGGCTGAGATGATTAAGCCTCCGACTCTTGATTTCATCGCAGGTCATGATCTCAGGGTCTTCAAATCGAGGCCTGCACGGAGCCTGCTAAGATTCTCTCTCTCTCTCAATAAACAAATAAATAAATGATAAGTAATAGACAAAATCTTAAAAAAAAATTGTCTGAGGGAGAACAAAGTCTTAGAAGGTTGTGATATAACAGAACTGACTGAAGAGAGAACATGACCAGAACTACTTGTTAGAAGTAAGGTGCAGAAATCAAAAATTTGATGTGTAATTCAGCAAGTGTTAATTATAAGAAGTGAAAAGTTACAGTTTTGGAATGCTAGGGCTACTTTCAAGAGGTTTCTGTAGGAAATGTATTGTACATTTTTCAATAGCTTTATCGTACTCCTATGTTGTAAGATAATTATAAATGACATTTGTTTTAAAATTATACTTTAAAATCCAACAGTGTTGTTTTTTTTTTTTTTAGAAAACTTGGAGAATTTTCACTTTCTTAGCTCTCTCCATAATTTCACCACCCAGAGATAGCTGCTACTATTATTAATTTCATATATCGACTGTGTTATTCTTTTTTCTATCTGTGGGGTTTGTTTTCCACAAAGAAAGTTACTCTGTTACCTTCATTTTCACTTAATGTCGTGTAAATGTCTTGGCATGTTTCCATGTCATGTGCTACTGTATTTACAACAATTGTGATGTTGCACAATACTACATTGTATGGCCATCCTATTTGATTTAACCACTCCCCTGCTTTTGGATATTTAGGTTGTCTCTGGCTTCTCACTATTACAGATAATGCTGCAGTAAATATCTTGTAGTGTCTTTACATAACTGTGATTATTAGTATAAATTCCTAGAAGTGAGATTGTTGGATCAAAGTGTATGTGGGCTTTTAAGACCTATTGCTAAATTCTGTTCTATAAACATATGTTTATGATACAAGTATTGCTGCATTTGTAATGCTGACTCTGGTGCTTTCAGATGCTGCAGTAACTTCCAGTAGAATTTAATTGTTTAGGAAACTAGTGTTCTTGTTAATTTTTAAAAGTTGTGTCTAGGGGTACCTGGGTGGCTCAGTCGTTAAGCGTCTGCCTTCGGCTCAGGTCGTGACCCCAGGGTCCTGGGATAAAGCCCTGCATCGGGCTCCCTGCTCAGCGGGAAGCCTGCTTCTCCCTCTCCCACTCCCCCTGCTTGTGTTCCCTCTCGCTGTGTCTCTCTGTCAAATAAATAAAATTTTAAAAAATAAATAAAAGTTGTGTCTAGGTAACAATGTCACGTTAGTAACAAGTTGTGAAGACTCAACAAAATGCATGGGTGGCATCATGGTTGTGGAGGGACTGGGAAAGATGGGGAGAAGGCCAGTTAACCCCTAGTTCTGCTACCAAAAGCTATGTGAACTTGAAGATGGGCGGGAACCAAGTTCAGCCTCTCTGACCTAGTAGTTGTTTCCTTCTTTCTGTCTAGTTAGTCAAGTTTTCTTTCCACTTCCCCAGATCCCCTTTATTTCTGCTACTTATGGGGGCAAGTGGCCTGAGAGGGGTGAGGATTGGAGGCAAGGAAAGGTCTTTGAAGGTGGGGATTTAATAGAGAACTTAAAGAGAAAACAGAACCACACCTACTTGTTAGAAGTAAGTTGGAGAAAAAAATAGGGTATGTTAAGAATGATTATTACTATTTTATTATTATTAAAGATTTTACTTATTTGTGAGAGAGTGAGCAAGAGAGAGCATGAGCTGGGGGAGGGGCAGAGACAAAGGGAGAAGCAGGCTCCCCACTGAGCAGGGAGCCCAATGCGGGCTCCATCTCAGGATCCTGGGATTATGACCTGAGCCAGAGGTAGACACTTTACTGACTGAGCCACCCAGGTGCCCTTATCATCATCATCATCATCATCATCATCATCATCATTCTGCACATAAGTATGCACCAGCTGGCTTGGTAAGACTGAGGTGGAGACCACTTCCAGGTGGTTGTGTTCTTGAGCTTTGTCAGAGTTTATTTTTTTCAAATGAACAAACATTTACTGAAGGCCTATGGTGTGTCTGGCTTTGGGATAGAATACAGAGTAAATAGGGTAGTTAATACTTAAACAACTACGGCATGGCCCCTTCCTGGCGTAGCCATGGTCAGTGACTTGGTGGGTATTTTCACCTGCTCAGTCCCCCTCCATTGTCCTTCAGTAAAGTGCCCCCCTCGTACTCCTTGGGGAACTACCCCTCTCCTGTTTTGTGCAGTCTTGGAGAGTGTCGAACGAAGATCCCGGGTCCCTAGCGGAGAGGTAGGGCTGACTTAAGCTGTTTGATTCTCGAGCAGAGAGAGAGACATGGGAGACAGCTGGCCCTGAGTTGTTCCGTGGACTGTTAGAGGCTGTTGGTTCATTCTTGCTCTGTGTCCTTGGCACCACCCTGGTTACTAAGACTGTGGATGTGAGGTGTCCTGGCATCTTGGATTCTTCCAGCAATCCTTTTAAAATAAACTTGCCAGAGGGGCGCCTGCGTGGCTCAGCCGGTTAAGCGTCTGCCTTCGGCTCGGGTCATGATCCCAGGGTCCTGGGATCGAGCCCCGCATCGGGCTCCCTGCTCGGTGGGAAGCCTGCTTCTCCCTCTCCTCCCCACTCATGCTCTCTTCTCACTATCTCTGTCTCTCTCTCAAATAAATAAAAATATAAAAATAAATAAAAATAAAAAGACTTTTGAAAGATGCTTTTCGGGGCGCCTGGGTGGCTCAGTTGGTTAAGCATCTGCCTTCGGCTCAGGTCATGGTCCCAGGGTCCTGGGATCGAGCCCCGCATCGGGCTCCCTGCTCGGCGGGAAGCCTGCTTCTCCCTCTCCCTCTGCCTGTCTCTCTGCCTACTTGTTCTCTCTCTCTCTCTGTCAGATAAATAAATAAAATCTTAAAAAAATAAAATAAAATGAAATAAAATAAACTTGCCAGAGTCAGGCTCCAGTGCTTGTAGCAACAAATACTAACTGGTATCATGTCCTACAAGACCAAGGTTAAAATAAGTTCCTCTCTATTTTCAAAAATGATGAAAGCTTTATTGCCAACATTTTAAAGAAGACTTTTCAGAAATGAAACCAATGGGACATTGAAATTAAGTGAAGAATATCATGTACACTGAACATTAAATGGAGGGTATTGCCTTTCAAATAAGTGGCACATTCAAAGGAAGGACGTGCCTTCCCAGCACAACGAGGACGGATGGAGTGTTAAAATTGCTACAAGGGAAACTCAACTTATTGCAACCTTTTGATCATTGAAATGTGTCACTGAGCAAGATTTTAGGTTACTTTTAATTGAAATCTGGCTAAAAAATCTGACAGTCTTCCATTGAGGATAATGTAAAACAGCCGTTCCAAGAGCCAGAAGGCTCAACTGAGGGATTTCTTAGGTACCTTTGTGACCTGTTGGGTAGCTTCCTTCTCATAGGAATGCAAAATATTTTCTATAATCTCATTTGAAATGCTAACAAATTGCATGTATTCTGTGGATGTTTGCAAGTACTTGTGAGGCTTCTGTTTTTATTTTGGAGCAATTGGCATTTTTATTTTTGCTTTGTCTTGATGTTGATGTGGCTTGTCTTCTAACCTCCTCTATCCAACATGAGGGATATAGGAAAGAGAACCAGAGGATCAAGTTCCTAGACCACAGCACTATAAGTAAAAGAACAATGCAGTTTTTGAACTGAGTCATAATTTAAATCCATACTAGAATGGATTTAGTATCCACAGTACGAGAATTAGAATTGCTTACTGGACATCGAGCTCAATTTGGAATCAAGGGATTTGGGTTCTTGTTCAGATGGTGGTACTACTTGTCTCATCTTGGGCTGGTCTTTCCTTGTCTCAATACAGGGTGGGACTTGACTAGTTTTCTACCCTGGGTTCACATTA